CCGGCGCCGAGGTGGAGAGCAGCGGCGGCTTGAGCCGCGCCCAGGACATGCGAAAGGGATCCGGGTCGTTCGGATCGCCCAAACCCGGTGCACCTGAGGGAAGATCGGAGACGTGGAGGACATGAACTGCAACAAGATCTGCCGAATCTGTCCTGCGCTTGAATCTGAGCCATCTCTGAGTTATTTGGCGCATCTTTCCAGGCATTCCCTCTCACCTTCCATGCCTCACCTCTGTCCCCATCGGTCGTCCCCGCCTTCCGGCGTCCGCTCCGAGGCGTCCGCCGGCCGCCCCGGCGGGGCCTCCGGCGGGGGCCCCGGCCGCGCGGACACCAAGTTCGCCGGCAGCGTGGGCGGCTGCTCGGGCGGCCGCGTGGGCGCGGGGTCTGTGCGGGCGAGGTCCTTCTTCATCAGCCCTTCGAAGTGGCTGGGAGAATGGCCTCAGCGAGAGGCTGGAAGGACGGAAAATTGGAACATTATAGTTATTATGTAATTATACCAAATATTATGCAACGCTTGCGGTGGATCACGAGGGATAGGGAAGAGTTTTCGCAAGTTGGTGGAACTGTCCAAGTCTCACGCACTGATTCAAGATTTGGGGACTGCCACCCTCGTGGCTGTTCAATGGATTTCTGATATCTTGCCTTGCTGCAGCATGTTTTGTTCCGAAACTGTGGCTACCCAAAATTCATCGGACCATTACTATATATTTATATAATATATATATATACAGTATATCATTTGGCAAGAACAAGTGGCCGATTGTGAGGTCGCCGTCGACCAGACCTCACGTAGATGTGCAGACTTGCTTCCCAGACCTTCCCCAGTTCCCAAAAAGACGTACAGGCCACAACCCCCGCACTCCGTTCTGTAGGCTCCGGGGAGCCATAGGTCTTGTCCAGCGGACTGGGTGTGGGCGTATCGTCGAAGTAATCCGAGCCCAGCCTGGCCGGACGTGGCCGACTGGAGAAGCCCTCCAGGCTGTCGGCGACCCCTGCTGAGGCTTAACCACATGAACACCACGGAAAACCAACGCACATCGGCGTGAATTAGCATGAATTAGCGCCCATGGACCGATTCTGAGGCTTGTCGAAGGGGGTTGGCCGCGAATCCGCACGTTTGGAGCTTTCCTACGATGACCCATCGAAACGGGGAGGCTGGAAACACTACTGTATTCTCCGGGGGTTGTGTTTAATTTTGTCTCCCGGTGGCCCTGCGCGTTCAACGTACGATGTTTTTTCCGTGCACCAATGTTTTCACGGACTCAATTTTGTGTTCATTTGTCCTACATACATCCAAGTCACCCGAAGAAAGAGTGAGTGCTTTAGTTAAGCCAAGGTTCATACTTCAAACGGATCAAAGACTGGATGTCCCTGACCGGAAGGTCTCCCACATCAAGTCAAAATCTATTCCTAAGCATTCCTAAGCTAACTGATGATACGTTTAACAAGTGAACCTCCTTCAGTCAATACTCCTCAAGGGAAGCGATGATGAAGACGACCAACCCACTAGACGACCATACTATGCAAAGGAAACTGCACGGCCCAAAGTATTGCACTCTATGAAGGTACGACTGGACCCTCCAAACCTACATAACAATGTCTCCAATCACACCTTCTCAGAAGGTACGTGGATCCCTAGGGCCTATGGGCCACATGTACGGTCGCCCACCCTAACTATGGAGCGACAACCAGTGTGTTGCTTTGGAAGCTGGGCCCGGCCCCCCCGCCCCCTTAGCAACACTCCACATCGAGTACTCCACATCCACTCGGTCTGCACTCCAGATCCATCCATCCCCGCTCTCCTCAAGGGCGTCGTGCTGTTCTCCGTGAGGCTGGGTGTGCACCCCTCGCCGGGCCCGTCGGTGGACTCGCTGATGGTGGTCATGCCGGGCGACGTCCGGCCCACCAGGTGGGCGCCAAAGGTGAAGCGGGCGTCGAAGCCCCGGCGCCTGCCAACCGAGACAAGGAAGCAAAAAGGTCCTAGAAACGAGATCCTTGAAAGAGTCCTTGAAAGAAGCCTCTCTGCATTTGGTTGGGGAATGGTTCCAACACACGAGATGCAACCTCTCCCCTCGCGAATGGGGTTGCTCTGGTCAAGTCGGAGCAAGAGTCCAGGGGTGGGAGGATCCACCTGCCTTGCTCGATGAATTGTTGCAACCAATTGAGCGTGGTTGACCTTATATAATAGTATAGTTTCTATACTCTGATGTTTGTTGTCTCTTACCTCTCACCGACTGGCGAAGTACGAAGAAAACACCCCCAAAGACTCCAGCACTTGGATGTCTCTCAAACTGGCCGACCCGGCTGACCCCGCCCAAAAATACACCAAACTTGGGAGACAAAGTGGTTGAAGATTTGGGCGATCATTCAAGCAGAAGAGGAGAAAAAAAAACGAAAGAAACTGCGCGATGCGTTAAAACATCCTGGACATCAAGCGGAAAACCCCAAATGGCTCAGAATGCCCTCAGGGGGGTTAGTCATTCTGTCGGCTGTCGATGAACCAAACCAGGTTGCGAGTCGACCTGGCGCTGCCACAGAAGTCACAGGAGAAGTCATAAGAGGCCGATGCGGCTGTTCATGCGGCTGATGGTTCCATCCGAACATTAACAGGAGAGACGGAGCCTGTGACGGAGCTGTTAACGACTCGAGCTTCCTGATGCATGCTGGATGCGGTTCCATCTCTCATTTCCGACTGATGATCTGGCTGACAGCTCAGTCGGTGAAAATGGTTGGCAAGCATCCACTCTTTGTTTGGCAAGCGCTCGTCTTCCCGCTCAGTGGCACGGTGTGTCTCGAGTGCCCATGAACTCAGATGGGAATTGTATATCCGCACTTTGCTTACCTCATGCAAAGTCTGTGCCTCACGCAATCTTTGTTCTGTTTGGAGTGCTTGGTGTACGGAGGACTCCTCAACGAAAGCTCTGGCTTCATTAGCCACAGTGGCTCAAAGCTGGGCCGCTTCGTCAACAAGTCGTTGTTCCCTTCCATTGGTCTTTCTCTATGACGAAGTTCGGCTATTGCTCTTGAGGAGCTTTCTCCTGTTGCACTGGTTGACCCTTCTTGTGCACACATTTTGGTTGAAGGTAGCTGACAAACCCTCATCATTCAGTTGGCCCAACCCAGCACTGCGAACTAGTGGTGTGTCGCGTGGCGTGTCGCTATCCTATGCCGAACTATGCCCAGCGTCACCCATGATTCCGAAAGCTGCGCACCAGCTTGGTAAGTGGGAGGGAACCGATGGCAGTTCAAGCACATGCCGCACTTTGGGCCGTGCGGCTGATAACCTGCGTGATTACAGGCGAACCGCCCACTAGCGCCAACCCAACTAGCGCACATCTGGTTTCATCTTGAGCCATACCAGTAGTATGAGGTGACATGCCAATAGTATGCGTGCGACTACCGTGAAAACACCACCATCTACATGCCATTTCTTCCACTCTGTTGCGTTCTTTCACCGCCCCACCCCCCCAGCTTATCCGAACCCACTCCCCAGCTTCACGGTGGAATCCGTTCTTTTCACCGCCCCAGTGGCTCGAAGAAGTCCGGGGACGGCGGCATGGGACTGCCCATGGGCGGCGCCGGCAGCGCTCCGAGGGCTTCCGCGTAGGGCCAGACTTCGGGCGAGCTGAGCATCGACGGCTCGGGCTCCTGAGGTCGGAAGGGTCACCAGGGGGGTGAAGTGTTCACAGCACGCCGAGCTGCTACCGTTGGACGCCTCCCAAAACCGGAAAAACCCAAGGGATCCAGGGATACGAGGTGTTCAAGGGTTAGAAATGCATGGCCAACGGGCCACCAAGAGGTGCCAAGAGGTGCGCGTTGGCAGCAAGATCATCGCGATTTAGAATGAGTTTGTGTGGCGTTTTGCGCCGTCTTTGTGGCAGCATCTGCCTCTCCTTTATGCTCAAGTCTGAGGAACCCAGCCCTGGGTGGTCATGATGCTAACGACAGTCCCGGTTTGAAACATCGCCCGGTTCCGATGTGAGGACTTCCAAGTCACCGAAGTCCAACTCTTCAAGTTCACATGCGAATCAAATGAGCAGAAATCCGTATGGATCTTCCTCTTCTGTGGGGTGCCCCAAATGCCGTTTTCAAAGGCAATGCACTGAGAAGAAAAAATGACGGTCGCCGTTCCTCCAAACAGGAACGCTCATTCTCATTCATTCTCCACCCTCTTCTCCAACCCAGGAACACTCAAGGTGTAGACCTGCGAGTCCAGCCATTCCTCGGACTCAGGATGCACTGAGCATGGGAGAGGTCCATCGAACTTGCGAACATGAACCCTCGGATTCAAACAACCATTGTTTTAATGGTCTTTACCAAAGAACTATTGTTTTACTAAGGACTTTTACACTACACCACCAGCTCAACCGTTCTTTTAATGGTCTTTGAAGGCTAGGGTGAAGCTACTGTACGAACGTAGCTCCCATACGACCAGTAGCTGGAAGCTACGAACGTGACAAAGGGGCAAGAAGGCGACCGAACGTAGCGATGCCGCGTACGTGACGAACGTAGCGATGCCCGTACGCTACGAATGGCAGCAAAGGTGATTGGAGAGATTGAACCGGGAAAGTGCGAACCTGATTTCTTGGAATTGGTCCGGTTCTGCTGAAAGTACCAAGAGCGGCGAAGAGCGGCCGCCCGATCTCAGACTGAGGGTAGATAGTGCACTTTCATGTGGTGCGAATTTGCGAATTGCTCCACGTCTGCGCACATTGAACCTACAGCATGTGAGGTAGAATGCTGATGAATCAAGCCCCCATGGAGCCCCCCCTGTCGTTTGGCTAGTTGAAACCTCTTCTTTTTGGGGGGCCGGGTTCATCAACAAGTCTACCACTTACTTGAGGGGTGAAGAACAACCCCCCAAACCGGGTGCAGGTCGCGGTGGTTCGGCCCGGCAACTCGACTCGTGGGGGAAGAAACCAGTTGGGCGCGCGCCAGCGATGGCTGGCGCATATTTCAACCTATAGTGACTGGATGATTCCCCATGATGCATATATGCATATATAAGTTTGAGTGACTTGAAAGCACCAACCACGCAAAGGGGTGAAATCCTTGAGAAAAAAAACCAAGAGATCGAGGCAAAAACACTAAGAAGTCATGTTGCATTAAAGCACCACCTACTGCACATGTATATAAGTATTAAAAACCAAGCGATCTTCTTTTAGTGGGGATCGGACTACATTTGCCAGGAAAATGTCGATTTGGGATATATAGCAAAAAATCCATAAAAAGATCCCCAGACCCGTCTCGTTTGATCCCCCGACCCGTCTGCTCCCCCGGGCGCCGTCCAAGTGGCCGCGACCCTGCTACTGGATGAGCGCCACCAGCTCGTCTTCGGCCAGGTCGCCGGGCCTTCCGGCACATCCGTCTCCTGCCGTCGCCGCGCTGGCGTCGAACGGAGCCTTTTCCACCGCAGCTTGGAGAAGCCCCGAGAAGCTGAGCACCCTTCCGGATTGTGTGGGCTCCAGCCGCATTCCGCGATTCCGCCACAAACCAGTGGCGTTCGCCGGTGCTGGGTCACGTGAGGCGACCCAAACGGAGCGGCAAACCATTTGAGTTCTCAGCGGTTTCTCGGAAATGATGTGGACATAATCATGAAAAAATTAGACATTTGTTTTCGTGGCGGGAAACATCCTCGTGCACTCCAGCAGTTTCATGAACCTCATGAAACCTATCATTTTGGGCGGCTTCTTTGTTGTGTCGGGACCGTGTCGTTGGTTGACCAGACCACGCTTTTCGGATCACACGGTCGCCCTTGGTCAATACCCAATCGCATGCCTGTGCTTTCGTTCCCAAGTTCCCAGCGCTGGAGTTGACCCTGGTCCAGACATAGAAGTGGTGACTTTAGCTCCTTTCATGCCAGTCTTTGCGCGGGAATCGGAACTCGAGCTCATCCGACCCGAGGTCGGCACCGGAGGAGAAAGCCAGGCATGAAGCAAAAGAGGCAACGGCTGGCACGAATCGGAACAGAAGCACCCCGTTTTCGCCGGACGTTCTTAATAAACCTCACAAAAAAAAGAGAGAGAGAGAGGGGGGGCAGACCTCAGTACATCGCCTCCAGGATCCGTTTTGTTGGGGGCCGTCACTCTCGTGTCACTCGACCGTCACGTGACCCAGTCGACTCGTCGCGCGCGTCGCGTCGCCATGACCGGACCCCAGAAGTCCGAACGACGGACGCCCCGAACGACGCCCCACCGGGGCGTCGTAGAGGTCCCCAACCGGGCGACCGGGGAGGACGACCTCCGCCGAGCTGGCGGAGTACGACCATACCACCCCCCAGAAGCGTCTGGACTCTCTCGCATCCGCCCCGAGTCCACGGGAGCCCTCAAACAAAGAATTCTCATCGACCCCAGTGGCTTTCAGGGTTATAAACAAGGAGGGCAGGACATGGCAAATCACTGTCAACATTTGATCGGGGGACATGAGTGAATGGCAGCTGCAGGCAGTCCTCTGGGATGTCGAAAAAGGTATTCCTCAGAGGTGGGGTATGTCTCGGCAGAACCACAACCTGAACATCACGGAACCCCTTCCTGGGATATTCCACATCCATATATACTACCTGGTTTATGAGGGGCCCAAGCCGCTGCAAGGGGCACCGAGGGGCACTGAGCGTTCACCAGAGTCTGGCCCAGCAGTGTTCCCTCTCAGCAGTGCTTTTGGATGTTTCCCTTCAAGGCAAAACCGTGGCGGCGGCATTGGCTTTGGGATGGTTGGGTCATCTTCTCCAAGGAAATGTGTCCATGCACTTCGAAGATTCCGGGGTGCTTTGAACCGGATATCGCATTTAGCATGATTTCGCTCTCTCCCTCTCTCTCTCTCTCTCTCTTTCTGTCTGTCTGTCTGTCTCTCTCTCTCTCTCTCTCTATCTATTTGTGCAAATACATTTGCCTCCGTGTATTGTACCTCTTGTATCCTCGTGTGACTTTTGTGTTGATATTTACCATCGCAAAATGAGAACTTCCGGAAGCCCGTTGGTCTGCTCTTGCACGTGGGCTGCCCACCCCTGTCAGCACCTCTCCCCACCTGCTCTCAAGAGAAAAAAACAAAGTAGGCCAAGACTCTTGCAGGTCAAGTTGCTGGGGATCATGTTCGCTGGATGTCTTTGCGCTTCAGCGGTTTTTCCTCAACCCCCATCCGTCTTTCCCTGGGAGCCCAAAAGCCGAAATGGACATGCGGATCACGCGGTCAACTTCAACTCATTGGCCCTCTTCCGAATCACTCGCGTCGGAGCGCTCGTGTGGCCGCCACTATGGAAGTCACGAAGCGTTAAAACCACGCCTGGAACGGGATGGCGGCCCAAAACCCGAAACATGACCCCTAAACCCTTCACACACACTTCAGGCACGCGCAGCGACCAAACCGGGGGTGTCCCCGATCCGGTGGCCCGCAGAACCCGGGGGGGCGGTGGGGCTCTTTTCGGTCAGGCGGGAAGAAGTTCAGCTCTTTCATACTGTTCCGAAGTTCAGCTATCCATTCCTATCCTAGCTGTAACAGTGGATGTTGTTCCGCAGTTGCAGGCGTGGTCCAAAAAGAGTGATGTATAATTGTTAACTGACTGGTACAGGTAGTAGGACAAACCCAACAGATTCATACATCATATACAGTACCAACAACATCCATATTTTATCCTATTGGTATCAGAACCATCTGAAATAGCAACTCAAGCAGTTGAACTTCTGCTGACCTCACGCCCAAATCCGGAATGAGTCATTACATGTCATTACCACATCAAACTGTCGAAGACCTTGGAAACCCCTCCCAACAGTGCACAGATTCCGGTGACGGGAGCAGCTTCCCGTCCATCCTGCTCCATCTCTGCCAAGCTCCTGGCTGCGAAAATGGTCTGCCTTCAGCCATGTGCCAAGAAGGATGCGAAAGCACCATCTGTCTCGTGCCAGGAACCCCGCTGATTCAAAAAGGATTCGGCAATTTCGACCATCCTTGGCTTTGACGAGGTCCAGTTATAGAGCCCTATCCATATTTGAGAGGAGACCCCAACTTCCAGGTGATACAGTGGCCGCTGTGGTGGTACACGGCATCAGTAGCAGCTCCTCGTGTGCTACCCGTGGGGGAAGGCATGGAGAAAAAGGAACACTCGACTCTTGGACATGACTTTTCTCTCCATCTCCGGGAGAGAAACACTCAACACTCATCTACACGTTTTCGATGTCGAGATGTCGACGATGAGTCAGCTTTTCCTTTCACGCCCTGAGTGATGGAGTGGAGACTGCCTTCCTCGTGTGGAGACTGGAGAGTGGCGACTCGTCCCGGCTCCTGGACGACTCCATGCTCCGGCGCACCACCTGGCGAGTCCGGACGAAGAAATCCAAACGGATCGAAGTCCCATGAGTCGAAGTACCAACGACCAGTCTTGGGATCCGAAGGTGCATCCACTGCAAGTCTTGCTGTGTCATCCAGACCGAGGCCACCCAGTTGGACGAAGGACAACACTGACAACACATCAGCCAAAGGGCCAAGCTCAGTTTTCTCCAAGATGTTTCGGCAGCTCGCCTCTTCCCTGGCCAGGCGTTCGGCATCCAAGGAGGCCTGGCCAGATGTCGTCACCGGACCAGCTCACCAACCAGGGCGGCGCGTCCTAGACGCCTGGAGATCTTGGAGTCAAACTGGGCAAAAACCGCCCAAACCTACGAAGGTAATTAGACGACTAAGGAGACTAAGGAGATGGGGTGCCCAGAAAGGTGCAGAAGTCACAGCTGCGTTCCAATACCGATCGAGGTGTCACGGCCGATCTCCGTATCCATTTCGGAATAAGACACTTGCGGTAGTGGTCTTGTGCGGTTTCTTAGGGCCCCCAGACTTAGAGTAGGCCTTGCACAAGGACTCATTGGCGGAATTGCACAAAACATGAGGGATTCACGTTTTTCCTAGAAAAGCTTGACCCTAAACACGGAGCGCTCTACATTACCCACCAACGAAGGGCCCCCGCTGGTGTGAAACCAATTCACGTGTAGACGTCCATGGATGGTAAGGATCGAAGAAGAACGTCGAAGTTGCTGAACTTCTCGGTGTTTTGTTGTTGAAGGCACATGAGGTGCCTCTCATCAGGCGCTTCTCTCTTCGCAGGCGCCCCGCCAGCGCCCTCGACCGCCTCCGCCTTGGCCCGCAAGCGCGTCTGCTCCTCCACTTGGCCCTGACGTGGCAAGGAGTGCTTTGGAATGATGAATCAAACCCCCTGATATGATACCATATGCAGGTGCAACATCATTCTGGAAAGGTTGCCTTCTTAATCCGAAGCCTGCAATGTATTAATATTTTATATAATTATGCATAGATGAGGGAAAAAATAGATATTTATATATATATATAGCATATTTTTTTTTTTTTTTGTCCGGCTCTTTTGTTCCGCAGAGGTCAGCTGATCTCATGTCAGCATCGTTCGAAGATCACGATTGCCTCCAACTTGGCATGGTCGTCGAAGCTTGATGGTGAGGTTGATCTCAGTGCCATGGAAGCGAGCCCTTTGGTGGCAATGGTCGCATTCGACCAGATTGCCGCTGCGGGTCATCTTGTGTGTCGGATGACCCTGCCAGTCCCGGCTGCTGAGTGGTCCATGGTGACAGATTTCGCCCAAGAAGCGAGAGAAGATGTCCTCGCCAGCCCTGGCCAACACGTAGCTCCGACACTTGGTGCACCGCAGGTATGCTTTGTCTAAGCGGAAGTGGTGCATGTCTGGCTTTGGCTCTCCTTGGCTTTCGATGAGATCATGTATGACCTCAAAGCGAGTCTTGCGCTCCTTCTTTGCTGGTCCGGCCGCAGCACAAGGCATGGCTTTGGCTTGTTGGAGTTCTTTGATGAGGGATTTCGTGTGCAGCCGTTGCTTGCACAGCTGACATTGTACTCCTGATCTGAAAGGGGCCCATTGATGGCCATTGCAATGCGGTTCTTGAAGGTATTCCGCCAAAAGAGACTTCTTTTGCTGGACCATGGGGATCTTGACATTGTCTGACCTAGGGTCTTTGGCATGGAGGAAGTGATCCTTGTTCCTCAGCAGGATGTCCATTCTGGTGCCTGCGACGCTGAGAACATCTCGGGTGTCTTCATCGATATGCCGCTGGAGGTCCAAGATGTCCTCTGGTTTTGCCAAAAGGGCAGTCTGATCTGCCTTGGCCTGAGTGTCTTTCTGAAAGGCTTTCCTGTTCTGGTTGGAGTCCATCTCCTTTTTGTCGAAGAGCAGAAGCTTAACTTGATCAAAGTCTTCATGTTCGAGGCCCTGACTGAGATCCGGGAAGGCTTCGTGCGCTGCCATAAAGGCCCAGTGTTTCCAAATGGAGTGCTGGAAGACAGCCACATGGACTTGGTCTCGAATGTGGAGAGACAAATGCTTGAGGCCATAGAAGAGGGCTCTCAACCTCGTGGCCTTGCCAGGACAAATGCCGGTGAGGGCTCCCACTCTTTCTCTGGTGAAAACCTGATGGATGCAAAGGGCGAAGACATATCGTCTGTGCCGAGGGTCCCTGGAGGTTGGTGCAATCGCAATTGACACTGCATGACCTGCAGGAAGATTGCAGGCTTCCAGTTGTGCCCAAAGCCCTTCGCCATTGAAGGTGGCCATGCCTCCATCAGGGATGTAGAAGATCGATTGTGTCATGCCCCGGTTCCAGAGTTCAGGCTCTGTGTTAGCTTGGATGCGCTCCTTCCATTGTGCCGGAATGTCTCGTACTCGGCCCTGCCAAAAGCTGCACTCCCAAAGGAGGTGAGTGAAGGTGAGCTCAACTCCACAGAGGGGGCATTGGCCTTCTTGCCCGTGCAGTGTACCTTGGTGCAAAGCCCGAATGCCTGTAGCTACTTTGTCAGAGGTCATCTTCTGGAGAGTTCTGCTGACCGTCCAGTCTAACTTCCTCTCCAGGTCGTGGCAGCCCGTGTGCCTGGTGAGGCGAAGGAGGCGTTGCCACTGAAATTCCTCATAGAGCTTATGTTGGATCTCCGGCCACAGCGCTTCAAGGCAGATGAGACAGTCAGGGATGCCTCCATAGCCTGTTCTCTTCCATTGTTTGCCATTGGATAGGTCGAAGTCGTAGTCCAGCAGGTAGGCCTGAAGGGCTTGCAGAGGCCCAGTGACCACCTGCCACCGGTATTTGGCCTTCAAGAGCAGGTCCAAAGCGGAGTTCCAACTGATCCAGAACAGGTTGCGGGCTCCTTCATCAAAAGAGTGAAGGACTCTCCAGACCGTGTGAACGTGTTGTAGGATGATGGAATCGCCAGGGTCACATTTGTCTGGATGCATGTCAAAGACCACGTCAACTGATCCAGTGCGTTGGAGGCCTAGGCCCCTGGCAGCCATGACCCTGAGTTGTTGTCGCCTTTGGGGAGCCAAACCGTTGGCTTGAGCCCCCCATGACATCACAGGATGTATGGCTCCACGATGAAGGCGATACTTGGTGGTGTTGGCCAGCTTGAGGCGTAACATGATGCCAGCTCTGCCCCTTCCCTTCAGGAATCGTTTCTTGATCTGGGAGATCCTTCTGCGACGGGAGTTTGTGGCATCAATGCCGAGGTCTCTCAAGACGTTGTGATGTTGAGGGTCGTTTTCTTTGAGCAGAGCATCCAAAGCCTTTGCAGACTCCTTGCTGCTGGTGATAAAGCCCGTCTTGTCGTTGTTCAAGGAGAGCCCTGCTGCTGTCAGGTGGTGTTGGAGAGTCCTGAAGGCTAGAACTGCTTCTCTTGCAGCGTAGTCAGGGTCAGTACCTTTGATGTCAAATGAGACGTCATCAACCCAAGTCTGAAGGAGCACGGCCGGGTGTTCCTGAACCAGAGAGCGGAGCGGCTTGTAGAGCACCAGCTTGGCAATGGCCGGAGCTTGGGGGCAGCCTTGGAGGATACCCTTCTGGTAGTAGCGGGGTTGACCCGCGATGCCCTCGGCTTGAATGAGGCGCGGACCCGTGTAAAGGTCCAGAGCAAGCTTCAAGTGGAGGGGAGGGTAGTTCAACTCCTGGGCCGGCTCGATGAGATGGTCCAGTTGGACGTTGTCGTAAAAGCAAGTGAGATCTGCCAGGCAAGTGACCGTGTGGATGCCTTGGTGCTTGCCAATCTCGGCTTTGAGCATTCGCCCGACCGCGATGCTGAGACAATCTTTGTGCGGTCTGGCATGATCCCAGGGCATGTCTTCGTCCAATCCCAATTGCCATCGTTGAAGT